TTTTTTTTATGTCGTGGTTCACAATCATGTTGACTGCATCTGGATTCGAACATGGAGTTCATGGGTGTACTATCCGCGCTACGTAGGCCCCTTTTTTTTTTTTTTCCCCGCTGCCTTTCTTTAAAAAAATGCTCCGTGGCGGACTAACGTGTGTGTTCTCGCTGATCTCCCGCTTCTTTCTTTGAGCGGGAGGAGGATAACCCCGTCTTTTTAATTATAAATATCATTATTATTATTATTATTATTTATTTTAATTATATTATTTATTATTTATTATTAAATTATTATTGTTATTATTTTTAATTAAAACCCTTTTTTATTATTGAACTGACTGTATATGTTAACACCCCTTGTGATTCATACAAGTGCACATTTAGCTTTTCTCTGCTTATATATATATATTTTTCCACATTTGTATTGGTATATTAATCATATTACTATATTCCCACCCTTGTTTTATATGTATGTATATAGAATGCAGGCTGCAACTCGCCTGCATCAAGGCGGATTCGCTCCACTCTTCCACCCCGAACATAACGCACCCTCATCTTGACTGCACCGGACCGGAAATCTAGCTTGTATACATCCATAATTATGAGGGTGCGTTTTGTTCGACGCAATCGCTCTTAATCGCCGGTCAGCCATGGCCGAACTCGTTACCCTAACCATCAAGTACAGGGCTACCCTTCTTGACCCGAATAGAACGCCCGGTCATTATAGATGCATTTGGGCCAGATTCCAGACCAGATGCAGCGATGACGACCGGGCGTTCTATTCGAGTGAAGAGGGTGAACACCACGGGAGCTGAGTCAGATATAACCATGGCCGAACTCGTTACCCTAACCGTCAAGTACAGGGCTACCCGTCTTGACTCGAATAGAACGCCCGGTCATTATAGCTGCATGTGGGCGGCCTTCCAGACCAGATGCAGCGATGATGACCGGGCGTTCTATTCGAGTGAAGAGGGTGAAGACGGTAATGACTGGAGCGACGTCGGAACAAGGCAGCCGTACTTGAAAAGGGAGAACGAGTTATACTGCTACAGATTGGCGGGCGTTGGGGTTTTTTATTTTTTTTTATTTTTTATTTTTTAGATCGTACAAAGCAGCTGATTTCGGCCAGTATATCGGACTGAAATTCAGAATAATTGAGAATTAAAACCATGTAATTTCTCACAAATTCATGATTCGGAAAGAATAAGGTGAGGGGCCTACCTAGTTTCCAAAAATAGTAGGCGATTAACTAGCTCAGCTGGTAGAGAGCGCCCCTGATAATTGCCTCGTTGTGATTAAACTGTAGAGGCGGACCCACCCACCCCACGTAGGTAGTTCAATGTGTTTTTTATATCTATATATCTATATATCTATATCTATATCTATATATCTATATATCTATATCTATATCTATATCTATATATCTATATATCTATATATAGATTGCCACAAGCGGGGTTAAGATGGATGATCAGTTACAGTGTAGTCAGATCTAGATTCAGCACAGCCAGGGCATATACATGTACCTCGTTTGTTGTCCTCTTCTCTCTCTCTGCCTACGGTTTACCGGGCAGTTCTGTTTGTGATTATATATATATGAGTCGGTGACACTCCGACGAAACAGTTTGTCACAGCCCCGCATGTAGAGGGTTCAGCCTCCTGATGAGGCATGCTATACGTACAACTCCGGTGAGACAGTCCGTCACCGCCCGTCGTTTCTTATCCTCTTCTTCCTCTCCTCGCCTCCGCTTCACGGGGCAGTTCTGTATGACGATATAAATACATCTTTATCTATATATAGATTATATTATATGTATACTCTCCTCCTCCGCCCGCACAGGCCTCTAATTGATCATATATGCTTATACACATTGAACCCTTTCTTTTGTTTTTTTTGGTTCTTCATTAGCAGTAGCTTTGCTTTTTTGTTTTTCTTTTCTTTCCTTTTTTTTTTTTTTTTTTTTGGGTATATATGTTCTGTAATTGTCGATGTTTCAAAACAATTGAACGACGTGTGATAGGAACGATTAGCGTTTCTCCGGATGACAGAGTGTTGACGTCAAGTCTTTACACGTATATGTCGTCGAACAGAATAAATAATGAATGTATATATACTATAATGTATGTATAAGTTCATACAATTGAACCCGTTGTTCTTCTTCAGCAGGAGACGAATCAGATTCTTTGTATTTCACATGCATTGGGGGTTTGCTTGCTTAGAGCCTGCCGTCTTTCTCCGGATAAAGTGTACGGTCATTGTGCCTGTACTTGGGGCAACTTTCAGTCTAGATACACAGCGATAATGACGGTCCGTTTGATTCGCAGGAAGACCGTAGGACGACGAACTGGCAGTGCTCTGTCCGTGCACGGTGGTCATAAAGTGCTCTCATCCCGATTAGGAAAGATGATGCATTTTAGGTGGAATAGCATCCGCATTAGGAAAATATGATGTATAGGTACCATGGCTCGCAAGTCGATTACTTCCAAATCGCCGGACGTGGGTGACCAGGTGCAGAGCACCTGGTCACCCACTTGTATTCGGAAGTGGGTGACCATGGCCTTTGCGCAAGTGGGTGACCAGGTGCAGAGCACGGACGAGAGATGATCCCTATCCTCTTCCCCCGAATACAACGTACGGTTGTTATAGCTGCATCTAGACTGAAAGATGCCTCAAATACACAGCTATGTATTCGGGGGAAGAAGGTAGCCGCGTGGATGTACCTCGCAGTTCCACCTGCCTGGGGATCTGCTCACGTTTCACGTTCACACACACAGCAGGTGGGAGCATGGGCGTGTTCTAAGTTCTTCTTCACAACTTACTGAAAGCGCCAATTGATGTCCGTCCCCTAGTACGGGCCCTACCCCCGCGAAACAGAACGCACCTCCTCACAGAATCACTGTCAACTGCAGCGATCCACCCCATCTGCGTATGCATATGCCTTTTTTTTTTTTT